TTTTCCAAATGCGGACCATGTTCCCTTCTTTGGCTTGGTACTCTCCTAGGATTTGGTTGACGACCAGCATGGAGTCGCTTAGATAACTGATCGTGGTTGCGCCCATTTCTTTCGCGAGTCGCAACCCGGCGAGCAGGCTTCGTATTCGGACTCATTGTTGGTCGCCTTAAACCCGAATCGGAGAATTCCATGAACTCGAGCCCCTTCGGGGCTCACCAGGAGGAGACCCGCACCTGCTCTTTCCTGTTTGTGACCCGTCGACGTAGAGGTTCCAGGTCGATAGGTCTGAATAGTTTTGCCCGACTTCGCTGGACTGCTGCCGTTTGGGAGATAGGAGAACTCCGAGATGAAGTCTGCAACAGCCTGCCCTTTGATGGTCGACCTGGGCATATAGCTTAGGTCGAACGGCTCAGCTCCATGGCCCATTTGAGCAACTTTCCTGAGGCCTCTGGCTTTGGAGGACTGCCTGAGGGGGGAACTCGTCATTACATGACGTATGGGCATGGAAGTAAGGTCGTAGCTCCTGGACGCGATCAGCAGGGCGAAAGCTAATCGCTCCATTTCCGGATACCGCATCTCGGCGTCCGATAGACGTTTACTGCGTAATAAACCGGCCACTGAGTTTTTCCCTCTTCCCGTATTAATGCTGCACTGACCGCGAACTGAGACACGGACAGGTAGACGAGCAGGATTTCCTGTGGAAGAGGTTTGGAGAGAAGAGGTGGCTTCCCGAGATGCTCTTTTATATTCTGGAATGCCTGCTCGCATTCGGGTCCATTCGAATTTCTTGGCCTTCAGAACGTTGAAGAATGGTAAACAGCGGTCGGTTAGCCTTGATGAAGCGACTGAGCGCTGCTATTCGCCCGTTCAAACTCATGACTGCTTTTTGCTGGTCGGGCTCTCCATATTGAGCAGAGCTTGAATCTTTTCGGGGTCACTTCTATGCCCCGCTGGTTGACCATATATCCCAGGAATTTGCCTGACGATACCCCGAATGAACATTTGAGAGGGTTCAGTTTCATTCTGTAGAGTCGGAGTATGTCAAACATTTTGCGAGGTGCTTGATATGTTCAGAGGCGACCTGGGACTTAACCAGCATGTCGTCTACATAGACCTCCATTGTCCTCCCGATCTGGTCGGAGAACATTCGGTTGACCAACCTCTGTAGGTCGACACCGCATTCTTGAGGCCGAAGGGCATTACCTGTAGCAGTATAGCCCCTATCCGTGATGAAGGTCGTAGCTCCTCATCTGGCTTATGCATCGGGTTTTATTGTATCCCGAGTATGCACCATGAAGCTAACAGCTCGTGCCCCGAGGTGGCGTCAACGAGCTGGTCGATTCTGGCAGGGGGAAGCTGTCTTTCGGGCAAGCCTTGTTCAGGTCACTGAAGTCTACGCAGGTTCGCCACTTACCATTCGGCTTCTTTACCAGAACCGGATTGGCGACCCAGGTCGGGTAGAGAGCTTCGCGAATAGATCCATTGGAGAAGGTTCTCATTCGGATTTTAACGCGGCGTACCGCTTGGATCCATCGCCCTTCTCTTTTGGCGCACCGGCTTAGCTTCATTGCTGACGTTCAGGGAATGGCAGATAACATCCGGGCTGATCCCGACCATGTCAGCGTGGACCAGGCGAACACATCAATGTTCTCCTTCAAGAAGTTCACCAGCTCGGAAGCGAGCTGGGATCGAGACAGCTCCCGATCTTTAGCATTCGACTCGGCTCTTTCGGATCAACTGATACTTCAGACAGATCTCAACCGGGCCTCTCGGGGGAATTTCCTGAATTCGTGGATCTATATTATCCTCTGCCGGACGGGCTGTGGCTCGATTCGGTGATCGTCATGGCCTGACGGGGCGTGCACCGCGAAATGCCCTTCCCTTTGTCGGCCATTTGGACCGCTTTTATATAGCATTCGCGTGATGCACTTTGCGACCCGCTTACCTCCGATCCCCGACGGGGTGGGAAACTTCATCTTGAGATGATAGATGGAAGTAACCGCCTTAAAGGTTCTCAGTAGAGGGCCCTAGATCCATTGAAGGCCGATGGGCGTCTACGACCAGGAACTCTGTAACTCTAGTCACTTCGTCGTAGTCGCCGAGCGTGCTGGGAGCTGGATTGTTGCTGGGGATTAGGTGATCCCCTGTAAAACGTATAGAGGCATCGAAGCTGGCTTCAGGTCGGCTCCGCACAGGTTCATTCTATCGAAAGCCGATTGAACAGAATGTTCACAGCGCTCCGTTGTCACAAAGCATTCTGCAGACATTATGACATCCGATCAGGGGGGTGATTACCAGGGCTCCTCGTGCGGAGGTGCAAGCGAGCTGCCTCCTTCTCGCAGAAGGTGATTGGTTCTTCCTTCCTGGCTTTCTGAGGTCGCTGCGATGTGCTCGACACTGATCGGGTCGTGATGCGCTTCCCGAGCATACCTGTCCTGCGCCCCCCGGTGTTTCCAGCGAGGTGTGGACCTCCGAAAATCAAGTTCACACTGCTGTACCCGCTGCGATCACGGCGCTTGTTCTTTCGCTCCCCTTGGTTTTCTTTTGGGGAGTCGTCAATGTACTCCGAAGTGCCCCTTCTGATAAGCTCTTCAATAGCCTCTTTAGGGCCGGCACTCATCAGTGGATGCCGTATCCCGGTGATATCGACAGTATTTCTTGCTGTTCCTGGCTGTTGCAGGAGTTTCATGGGTTCTGGTTCACCGAGCAAGCTGGCTTCCTGGATTTGTCGAGGATCGCAGATATGGACACATTCAGCGGGGTGTATTGGGCCTGTCGCGGGTCGTACGGGGGACAGGAGCATAGGACTTTTTCTGCTGTAGCGGGGTTTTTCCCTTTTCGCTGATCGTCATTGTCTCCCTTGCGATCAGCTCGCGTTATCTCCCCGACCTGACGTACCGCTAGAGGTGCCGTGATCGCGACGGCGAAGTGCCGCAGTGAATTTCTATTCGGAGATACTTTCCGCCAGGTTGTAGAATTGGTGAGAGAAATATCGTCCTCAGCCTGCAGTTCCTTCCACAGGTCGGTTTGCGGGCGAACTCCGGCTATTATAAGAGTTCGGATGGAATCTTCTAGGGCGGAGCACCTTGTGAGTTCCTGTGGAAGCGGTCAACGTAAGACTGCAGGGATTCGTCTCTTTCTGCCTTATGTTGCTGAGATAGCTCAAAGGCATTGAAAATTTCCGATTGGCTTGGAAAATGCCGCAAGAACGTCGCGCTCATCTGAGGACAGAATGATCGAACCCGTTGGGAGCGACCTTAACCACCGTTTGGCGTGAGAGGTCAGCGTCACAGCCAAACATCGGCATTTCGCAAGGTCCGAAACCTGGTGGAGCTCCATCAGGTCGTTGAACTCATACAAATGGTCCTGCGGATCATATTTCCATCAAACGGCCGCATGCTGGCATTCTGAACCTGGTGGAAGTGGGGCAGCTAGCACTTCAGGGGAAAACGGGGATGTAGAGACGACCTGGTGTGCTCGTTTTGCTGCTCCCTTAACCTGTCTAGAGCTCGCTGCAGCTCCTCAATTCGCGGTAATGGAGCCAATTGGGGGTTGTTTTCACCCGTGCGAGCCCTCCCTTCTCGGTTGCGGTTCAGGGCAGTCCGGAGATCAGATTCCTCTCGCCTCGGCCGGCATTCCGGCCGCACTCGACACATGCTGACTAGGGATGTGAGGACGACGGGTTGTAAGGGGCACTTTCACGACCCTCGCGGTGGTTACGAACCGCCCGCGAGGTGTGAAACCTCCGCATACGATCGGGATTGCTCTGCTGGGGGTGATCGGGACCACCATGCCCAGCATTTTTGCTTGGGTTTGTTGCATCGTGGCATGGGACAGCTCGGGGTCCACTCTCTCGCCAAGTCTCAGCTTTGCTGACACTCTGCTAGGGGCACCTTGGTATTCGCGGCCCTTGGGAGCCCGCAGGCTTATTTTTTGCCACTTGTTACCCTTGCGCTTACGCGCTGCAGTGCTCGCGGCACGGGCTATCGCCTTGCCGCGCTTTCGCGCGACCTGCAGGCGTTTTTGGCGGTTGTATGGCTTTGGCTGTCGTGGATGACATGCCTTGGTCCAGACGGTCCAACCTCTGGTTGACTGGCTGGAGAGTATTATCAATCTCTCCAGGTAACTCCTGATGGCAGGTGCCAGTTGCGGGGCTGTTGGGGTATTCAGTAGCATTTTGTGAGATTAAAGGTACGTTGGAAGGGGTGTCCCTCTGGGCCAGGGGGACTCCTTCTGCATGCTGGTCTTGCTCAGGTTCAGATTGGCGGGCCATTGTAGCTGAAGACCAGTAGGTCAAAGATTCTTCTGATGAAGGGTAGACACTAAATCAGCCCTCTTCTAGCGCCAAACGTTGATGCTCGTTTTAACACCAACGAATTTTTACGTGGATAATATCAATTTACTGTTCGATGCACGTGAAAAAGAGTATAAGAAAAGTGAAATAGCTGTAGAGGGGTGTTTTAAGTGGTTCGGACGTGAGATAGCAAGTCCTACGTCCACTGATTGTATTGATATAGTGGATGTCAGGTCGCGGTCGCGAGCTGATTACAACAGACGAAAAAGTCAAAGCAGGTTTACAAGAGAGAGAGATTTCTATTTGTTCTTTTTTTTGTAGTAAAATGGCCGAATCCCCTTAATGAAGGGGTCTTCCCTTTTATACTGGACTGGAGGGTAATCCTTGCTAAATCCGTGGTTTGGTGTGATTGTCAGTGTATAATCAGGCTTTATGTCCCATTTCCCTTTTTCCAAGCTGACATCGCACGACTTGGGGCAGGAGAAAGGACGCGTGTGGGCTCCAAATCACTTGGCAGGTCTGAGCTGTGCGTGTTGCTTGACGAGAGCAGGTCGCCCTCACGTGACTCTCCCAGTCAGCCCTTTATTTCTTAGGCATAACACAAACCTAAACGTGCTTCGTAGGTTCATTGATTTGTGCAGTGGTTGGACTCTTAATATTACATTATAAAAAAATATTGGATATTGGTCCATTTGTAATGTTAGAACAAATTGTACAGTCATATTTTATTAAACAATACCGTTTCTTGTCCAACAAAACCAGTCCACAGTTCACAGAAGTAAAGAGAAATTGAGGATCATTTATGTTCAACCGGCAAGTTGATCCTAACTAAAATAACTAATATTAACCATACTGACATATTAGAGAAAGTTAATTATATGCTATAATATTTATATAGAAACCATTTTGCAGTCAAAACTTTGAGCTGAAATTATGGAAGAGGATGGTAACAACAAACCCACAATCCTGGTGACCAATGATGATGGAATCGAGGCGCCAGGTCTGCTAGGCCTTGTTCACGTTCTTGTCTCCACTGGTGAATTCAAGGTTCTTGTGTGTGCCCCTGACGAGTAAGTTCCTTTATCTTCCTTTTGTTCTATTTATATGATCATCACCGCATAAATTTTTTTATTGCTTTTGACATTATGGTGGTTGGAGTAGCAACACAATTAATTTTGGAGAAAAAAGATGATAAGAGATGCTTGTTTGAATCATTTTTATTAGTATTCTCTAGTACTGCGCCTTTTGGATTATCTGGTGACATATTTGTATGTACTTATTTTCTTCTTTTCCAGGGAAAGGTCAGCAGTGAGTCATGGTGTAATTTGGGCTCACCCTCTCTCTGCAAAGCTAGTAGATATAGATGGAGCAACAGCATTTGCTGTTTCTGGTTTGTTCTACTTTTGACTAAATCTGTTTCTTTTCTCCAACTTCTATTTGAATCAATTAGTCGTATTATTTATTGAATGTATTACTACACGCAGGAACACCAGCAGATTGTGCTTCTTTAGGGGTCTCCAAAGCACTCTTTCCTTCAGTTCCTGATTTGGTTTCTCTTTGACTCTTTTTTATATCTATCAAAGTGTCATCTATCAATTGCCAGGGGGAACTCGTTTAAATCCTGATATTATAAAAGCTTCCCAGTTTCTAATTTTCTTTTTCCTGTAAACAGGTGATCTGTGGCATTAACAAGGGTAGCAACTCTGGCTATCATGTGTTAGTGATATTTTCATCTGTGGCTTTTTCTATTGTACATTAATGATGAAACTAAATGAAAAAGTGTGTCGTAATAGTTTATTCTGAGAGAGACGTAAAATTTTCATGAGTTCCAAAATGTAGCCAACCCGCAAAACATATATTTTCACTCTTATATTAATTTCTGCTAGGATCTAAAGCTGTTTATATAAATTAGTTTCGAATTTTACTCCATCAACATATTGAGTTACTTGTTGGGCGAGTTGGTTTCTGTGACATTATCGACTCAATGGATTCCCTCATTGGAATTGCAGTATTTACTCAGGCACAGTGGCTGGAGCTCGAGAGGCCTTCTTAAATGGTGTTCCTGCTCTCTCTATATCATACGATTGGTATGTACATATATTTTTTGGCTAAATTACAAGTTTAAGATGAATTTACTTCAAACTTGAGAGTTTAATATTCACACAAATTTTCTTTCCGCATATAACTGCACATGATGTCAAATCAAATGTCTTGTCGAGCAACTCTATAATCTTGGCTTGTTTTTGTTGAGTATACTATTTGGCTCATACTACAAAGAATCAAGTTAACTAACCACTTAATAGAGTTACTAGTAATCCAGAAAACACCAAAAAATTCCATTAATTCAAGGCTAGAGATTGATAGATTATTCCCATTTCATTTCTCCTATTTAACTTTAGATTGTTGACAATTTCAATAAGGGATTCTTTTAACTTCTTGCTGTCTTTTCAATTGCAGGTATGGTGGGCGTACAAAGGATCAGCTGGTGAATGTTCAAAGGTGGGGCCTTTTGATTTTTATCTTTTCCATTTTTTTTCTTTAATTTTTGGATGAATGTGAAAATTAATTTCCTGTACCAAGCATTTCTTGAGCGGATACAATTACTAGTTTTGGGCTCCATGCCTATGAAAAAAAAAACAATGGCTGGTGAGGTGCAAATCCTGGGAGCTCTTCTACTCAGGTTTTTTTCGCCTTAATAAACATCTCCCAGAAAATGTCTCTAACAGCTCCAAAGTTTCTATTAGCTATCTCATTGCTATCTTTTGGCCAATATTTGTATTAGCTAACCCAATTTATTTCATATTCTGTTTCATTACAAAAAGCATGGTTTTTTGTCTTCTCATCCTAATTTTTTGGGCATTGGATCGTTAGTGTTGGAGTAAATAAGAGAAATGCTGATGATTTCAAACTTGCTGCTGAGGTTTGTTTACCTATTATAAGAGGAGTAATGGCTGAGATCAAGAGTCAAACCTATCCCCAGAAATGTTTTTTGAACATAGATTTGCCAGCAGATCTTGCTCGTCATAAGGTAAACTTCAGAACTATCTTGTTAACATCTCTAAAGCATATAAGTTTAGTAAGTACTTCAACATAGCCCTGTCTTCCGGATTAGCCAATTTTAATGCAAAACTTCTAGTAGAATCGCAAGTCTTTACTTATAAAATCATTGTGTAATGCATTAGAATTTAGATGCGATAATGATGCTGTTTCTTGTATAAAAAGGGGTTTAAGCTGACTAAGCAAGGTACAAGTTTAATTAAATTGGGGTGGAAGCAAGTTACTTCTGAAATGCAACTGCAAGAAAGGAAATTTGGGAGAGATTCAGCAACAGAGGCAACAACTGAGACAGCAAATGCATCCCAAGAACCTCTTTTCTTCTTCAGAGAAGTGAGTCACTTTCTATAAATATTGAATAGTCAATGTGCTCATCAGGAAGGGCTTCAATTTTCATTATTTTGCTTGATCAAGAGTAATCTAAAATGGGCTCTAATTTTTTTTTTTTTCTCGTAGATAAGGGAACTCCAATTCGACGATGACGATACAGACTACCGGTTTCTTCAGGAAGGATATGTAGGTATCTTTACTTTCTAAGACTATTTAAATAAAGAAGCCTAAAATTTACATGTTTCAGTTTACTTTATTTCAGATTACTGTCACTCCTCTTTCTGCCCTCTCCCCTGCAGAGAAAGATTGTCAAACCTTCTTCAAAGGTTGGCTGCCAAATCTGTTTGACCATCCTACTTCTTCACCAATGCTCTGAGACTAGAACAAGGAAGCATGTATCTCAGCAGTACAGAATAAAACTGCATGATCATATCGCTGCGTAAGTTGCTTATTGTGACAAGAAAATTGGTAGTATTGTTCATTGTTTAGAATTGTCATCTCATTCAGAACACTGTACTTAGTTTTGTCCAAAGTTTTTTAATCTGTTTGCCATTAACAATCTAGTAACAAGTACATTTTATGTACTTTTTCTGGAAATCCTACTCTGCCCCACAGTTGATTGTATGGAGTAATCAACCTGATGTTTACTTCAGAACTTATATTCTTATATTAATCTTGAACAAACTCTTGATTAAACAATTTTATATTGTTACATTAAGATTGTCAACATGAGTTTCCTTCTTAATTTGTTTAATATTACACATGTTTCTCATTTTCCATTAAATAAAAAAAAAAAAAAAAAAAAAAAAAAAAAGACTATACTATTGACTGACTTTTAAGATTGTAAGTAAAAGAAACAGTGCTACTGAGATGGGTTGTACTCGATAATTTGATTTAAAAATTCAATTGAAGAAATGAAAACCATGTAAGCTGCCCCATCCATTCTATGGTTTTTCACAAGTCAACTTCGAAAGGATTATGAAAAGAAGAAACAAACTTCCAACCCAACTGCTGAAAACTGACAAAGCAACAATAAGAAGCCAAATTTCAGAAAAAGGATGCCTTCCCCAAATACTTTTAATAAGAGTTTTAAACTTGCATAAGTTATACATAGAGTCTGATTAAAAATCAAATAGAGGAACAATAAGAAGCCAAATTCAAAGAACTCTGCAGCTAATTTTAGAAAAGAAATTGCAAAGAAGAAGGTTAATTGCTCAGATGGTATGATACTTGAAGAAGCAAACTAGAAAACAAAAAAATCCCACATAGGAGTATAATAAAACATCATAAATATGATATGTACATGACTGGAAAGCTCTCATTTTTTTTCTTTATCTGTGAGCTCTGTAAGCGCAGGGGCTTCATTGTTTTGATGCAAGGAAGGTATATGTGACTCCACTAGTATCGACCATAACACTTGAACATCTTCATAAGGGCAAGATTTGACATCCTCGTATAGAATGTATATCCCTCTCCCTGACAAACCAAAATGAATTTCAATACTGATACAAAATTGCAGGCTTTTCTTGATGTTCATAAGTCCAAGTTGTAAGCAATTCAAATGCATTGAGATTAAAGTAACTTAGAGAAACCATGTAAAGAACAAAGAGAAGGTGAAGAGGAAGACGCATAAATTAGAATGTCCCATTTGATGAAAAAGAAGACTGAAATTGCAGATTGACTTACTCTTTTCTTGAGCTGAGTGTAGGCGAAACCACAGCTTCTTCAATGGAGAGAAGAGGGACTGCAGCCATCCCATTTGGAGAAGTGGGGTGTGGCTTGGCTCATGCAGATTGAAGCTAAAAAAATAAGACAATATGTAGTAGACAAGAGACTACTACTACTCCGGGCGTTGCTTAGAGAAGAATGAAGTTATAAATGTCACTGTTTCTTAACACATCTTTACATTCCCTTGCAGGCCAATCATGCATATATCATATTGACACTTATTTTTGTTCTTGTTGCAATGTCATTTTTCAACCCCTTTTTATATCTTGTAGCAGAAGAAGCCACCCTACCAATCAGCTGTGCTTTTCACACTTTGATTTTCGTCCAATATTATCATTGCCCTTGCCCTCAAGATACAATCCTTACTATGTATGGACTACACTACAAATATACTAATGTGTTTAATCAATTTTGGGATAGGTGCACTTTTTTTTTTTTTGTTTTTTTACCATTTTTGGGCTAGCTGATCTTGAGTTTTAAGTTACAATAAAACTTACGATAAATGAGTCTTTTACAAGGGTCTTCCCCCTGTGTGCCACATGTCTTGTTGGGTGACTTCAAAGTTTATGAATATAGGCATAACTTGCTGACTCAGAAATTGACTCATCATTATTCCAAAATATTTGTTAATTAAAGATAGTGTAACACTTTTGTGATTAAAACTAAAATGTGCAGCAATATTTGACTGATTCATTGTTACAACAGATCAATATTCAATAGAACTCGAGGTCCAAATTTATGGGGCTGTGAGTGTGAAAGCCAGGCCCAGTTAACGACCGGAAGATTGGAAATACATAAACTCTTATCTTAGAAAAACGAGTAAACGATTTTTCCCACCCAAGGTTTACCTTAACGACACTTTCCTATTCAAAAAGTTTTAAAATACAATTTTCTCACCCAAAGTTTATAGCTTATTACTATACAAAATCGATTCCAACGGCAAAAATTCTCTTCGTCACCACCATTTGAACCTTTGGTCTTCTTTTTACAAAACCTCTCTCATTTTGACACTTAATTTCTTGCCGATTACCAAACACAACAAAGCTACGGTTTCTTGTTTTTTAGCTTATTTTCAGTTGATTTCGGTGATGAATATTTAATGAGTTACCACCATTCGATCTACCATCCTTCACTCCACAAAACCCCTTCTATCTTGACTCCTAGTAACTTGTCAAACGTCGATTCAGAAATTGAAGTGTATTTTGGCTAGTAACGGAATATAAACTTTGAGTAAAAAAGTGGTATTTTGAATAATTTATGAGTGGAGAACTGACAGTAAGGCAAACCTTAGGTGGGAAAAGCCAGTTTACTCTTAGAAAAACAATAGGGAAATGATTTTTAGTCCCCATCATGATATGATCTTCTTCTTTAGCTCTCATCCTCTACTTCAAGTAAGGATATAATTCTAATAAAAATTTGAATTTGAATTTGTATTCTTATTTCTTTATATTTTTATTTCAAAGCTTTATATTTGTAATTACTAAAAAAAATTAAGTCAATCAAAATTGATAATTTCATAAGTAAATTAAAGCGTATGTAATTATCAAATACTTAATGTTTCTTTTTCATGATAGGAATTAATTTTCAGATCTCATATCTTTTTAGACCTATAACAAACACAACTATGTTCGATATTCTATTGGAGAGTTATACATTAGGTTTTTTTTTTTTTTTTTTTTGTTTTTGTGCTCTTATTTTTTATATTTTTAAATTGGTTACAAATTACTTTGCTTAAATGGGAAACCAACCTATAACTAAGAATTATTAGAACTTAAAATATTTAGTTTATTTTTAAGCCACAACTGCAATAAACAGAAAATATTTAAAAAAAAAATTATATTGAGAAAAATGAACATGTTTATAAATCCTTTTGAAAAGTTTTGAATACAAAACCATTAATTGTTAATAGTTTTTCTAAGATAGAAGATGGAGACAAATATAAGAGATAAAAGACTAAAAAATCACTTCCCAAAACAATGAAACGATTTCAACTCTGAAATCTACAAGAGAAGTGAAAACATTCAATTTGAATATCCAATTTGGGTTTGGTTTGGGCCATGTTCAGGACATCAACCAAAACATCCTGGAGCCCACTGAGCTGACTAACCAATACAACCACCAACCGATTCGTCCATAACCATGACTTCTACCTCTCTTATTTTTTTTCATTAAATGTGGACACATCAATCCTATTCAAAATTTGACAATACAATGCAATGCAATTCAAAAATTAGATCGGGAGTCTCTTGAGTCCGCTAAGTATTTGGCTGGTGAGAATGAACTGCAGCTTTGATGTTCATGAAGAGAAAAAAATAGTGAAGCAGAAGTTGCAGTACAATCAGAGTGAAATGACTGATGGATTATAGGGTAATGTCGAAGGGAAGAAGATAAAAAGGGGTGAAGCCTGAAACTTGGACCCAGGCGCTCGTCTCCTCATCAGAGTGTCGTAAAAGTGGGGGCAGTCAGTGCTTTTAACGCTGATCAAGTCAGCTGTAGCCGTCTGATTTGCTGAAACATCACGTTATTGCATCTCTATTATCTTTTAGCGAGATTCACCCTATGCCTATATATTATATTACTTTTGATATATAAATATATAGATGATGTTATGTGGTTGAGAATGTTTGGTTGTGAAATTATTTTCAAATATTTTAACCATAATATACAATTAAAGCGAGAGAGAAATATATGATTATCATCTGCATTACTTTTACTTGAATTGTTGTCTGCTACGATCCTAACAAAGTTTAGTTGCTATTAGTCCTATCGTTTCTTTGCTCAAATACTACTTGAGCACTAAAATTATTCAAAAATAACATTGCAAAAACATATATAAGAAAAGAGTAAACAACTTTTTCCCACCCAAGGTTTTCCTTAATGACACTTTCCCACTCAAAAAGTTTCAAAATACTACTTTATTACCCAAAATTTATATTCCTATCAGGGGCAGATCCAACCCACTTTTGGCCCACCCTCAATTTTTTTTTTAAAATACTAATATATATAATTTTTGGATTTTGGCCCACCCTAACAAAAATTTATGAATCCACTACTGATTCCGACCAATCGTTGGCCAATCATCATTCACCAAAACCCCTAAAATCTTGCTCCTACAAACCTTGTCAATCGTCGGTAATCGAGTGATTTGTGAAACGCGCAACTGCCCCTCTCAAGTTAGATTCCTACCAATCTCGACTACCAAAATCTAATTTTCCACTACTAAAAGACTCATCGGCTTCCCCTCTTCAAAAACTCCAACAGTGTGGATCAAGTTTGCTCTCTGTTTGCCACTGAATCGAAAAATGCAATCTGGATAGTAAATGGAATATAAACTTTGGATAGTAAAATAGTATTTTGAAACTTTTTGAGTGGAAAAGTGTCATTAAGGCAAACATTGGGTGGGAAAAAGTGATTTACTATATAAGAAAATATTTCATGTGAGATTAAGCGAGAAGCACTTAGCCATGGAAGCACAACCTTTTGATAATGGCAAAGCCATGGAAGCACAACCTTTTGATAATGGCGGGACCATGGTGCAGTCATGGGGTCCGTTAAACCTATGTTTAGAATGATGAGGTGTGGTCAATATATTTGCATCGGCTACAAATGGGAAGAGTCATGAATTGTACAAAAGGCTTTTGTTTGTGCTTGTGTTACAGTCTTTTCAGTTAACGGTTCCTAGAAGGAAAAAAGGTTACCCACTACTATCAACAAAAGTCCAATCTCGAATCATCTTACTACCTTTTTACAACGTTAACACGCCGCTTTTTTCTTCTTTCCAATTGGAAAATTATAACTTGAGTAAAGATAAGTACATATTTTAAAATTTTAATGGAAGCAAGCAACCACTACATGCCTCTTAGCTGAGCAAAAACTCGTTAATCTATCAATAAACAAGAATGTGGGACANCATGGGGTCCGTTAAACCTATGTTTAGAATGATGAGGTGTGGTCAATATATTTGCATCGGCTACAAATGGGAAGAGTCATGAATTGTACAAAAGGCTTTTGTTTGTGCTTGTGTTACAGTCTTTTTAATTAACGGTTCCTAGAAGGAAAAAAGGTTACCCACTACTATCAACAAAAGTCCAATCTCGAATCATCTTACTACCTTTTTACAACGTTAACACGCCACTTTTTTCTTCTTTCCAATTGGAAAATTATAACTTGAGTAAAGATAAGTACATATTTTAAAATTTTAATGGAAGCAAGCAACCACTACATGCCTCTTAGCTGAGCAAAAACTCGTTAATCTATCAATAAACAAGAATGTGGGACAAGTTATAAATTAATACGTTTGACTCTGAAATTGAAAAATTCTCTAATTCCATATTGTTTTACGTGTTTTATGTTAATTTGTGATGGAGATGTGCCGACAAGAGGGAGACTCATTAATTGCATCAAATGCATATTTAGAGGTACCGTGATAAAGGTATCAGCAACAGCAATTTCCATACATTTCCTCACAACAATTTTTTTTTTTTTTTCTCGGTAACCAGGGTGTTCAAGCGAGCTTATACGTAATTTCTATACATTTCCTTATGACACACTTTTTTTTTTTTTCGAATCGGGTGTTTAAGCCCACTTGTACGTATATATTTTAACTAATCTCCATGATTCATTGAACACCCTACAAATACAAACGACCAAATAAGTTATAATGTAATAAATGACCTCAAGGTTCGAACAAAAAAACTCAATGAATGAAGCAAACCTCTTTAATTGTCAGACCAACCCTTGGGATTCTCACTACAAACTTAACCACACTATTTCTCACTGATTAAACACTAGTTGAATGTTAATATCACTTGTTTTCCCCCCCGTTCAAGTACTATGATTTTTCTAACAGGTGATTACGGTTAATTTCTTTCTGTCATAATGAGGCCTGAACTTACTTTATTTTCAATAAGATGATCATCACATTTACAGAGAACGTACCCACCCACCATGTTACATAAATGGAAGATTGGCTTATACTTAGGCCTGGATTTACACAGACAAGATCCCCAACAGTGTTTTGTGTTTTTTTTTTTTAACAGAAACAGACAAACTCACCCAACTAGTTTCATTTACCTGAGTGGTACTTTATTGAGAAGCATATATAATTGCCCTTTTCACCTTGAATATATATTTTTATTTTATCTCTAGACAGAGAAGAAATGAGTTTAATTTGAATTTAAAAAAGTAATGTTAAAATCATGATAATCCAGTTATATTGAGGGCAGCAATAATAATAATAATAATAATATTAGTGGAAGTTGGGGTGTAAGTAACCATGCCAATTGCCATGCACATACTGATACAGGGAGGGAGGGTGGTGTTTCAAAATTTGAAATCAAAATGCACATAAAAGACATCACTATAAGCTTGGCTACCAACTTTAGTCCATTTGGGCCACATGGGTTTGATACCACAACATCATATCCCAAAGTCATCATCTTATGGTTGCCAAATATCAAACTATATTATATTATAATATTACTGTGTTTTACTTTTATAAAATAAAGTTTGAAAAAAAGAAAATAATAATTCAAGTAAAGAGAAAGAATCTATGACATATTTGAATGGCGACAAACGAAACCAATCTTTCACTAACTTACATCCTTTCTACGATAAAGCTTACACTTAACGCTTTGGAAACCTCAATTTACCAGCCTAAACTACGCTTTGGCTACGTCAAACTAATTTTTTAATTACCTCAACTTACACACACACATATATATAAGACGACTAATTGCTTTTACTTATGGCTACTAACTAAGTGTACACGCACCCTTTGAGCGTGTGAGTTTCCAAAGGCATTGAGACATTTCTGTTCTGAAGTTGTCAGGCATATTCATTTTGCTCATCAGATTCATATCTTCAGTACTATACCATTCTACTAATAATGCCCAACAAAAAACCAATTTATCATTATACCCATAGGGCATACCCTCCTTCCCTCATATAAATCTTTAAAATACCAATGAAAGATTACACGTGGAGAAGATGGTCTTGTAAAAAGGTCTACGCCGTAACGACAACGGACTAAATTGGACCAAAAAATGATATTGAGGGAGGGGGGTTTTGACTTATGGAAATATGTGTTAAATTTTATGCAATGTCTTCTCTCACAAACTTCACACCGCCAAGCCCAAGCTTAGTTCTCGATGAACATGTGGTTCTTGATTTTTATCAATGGCCGTCTACTTTTTCATATGATTAGTCCTAAGTCTGATTATATAAATATTATATTTAGGCATGGGAAAAAGTAGAAATTAAAGATAACACAATGACACTTCACTAAATAAAAGGTCTGAATTTTCTGTTCACGGGTGGGTTTGGTTGCAGATCACTATCATAACAATATAAAGCAAAATTTTACCAAAACTGTAAATTTATTCTGTGCCTGTTTCATTTCATGGCTAAGCCAAAAACAAGATGGTACATGTTGCATTAATATTACACATGCCTCTCTGCAGCCTTTTGCCTAACGGAGACAGTCCATTTCCCATAAATGATTTTGTACAACAATGAATACAACCCCAATGAGGATATTCTCATTATTATTATTATTATTTTTTTACCTAGCTTCCTAACACAATACAGTATTTATTGTCGTGAAAAAAGCCGGGGGGGCAAAAAGGGGAAGTAGTAATGATAGCGTTAACGGGTGGTTCCGTTAAGGATCTGTACTCTATCTATATAATCAAACAAAATGAACATGATGATTCGCCGCCCATTGACTGAAAAATACTGTTGTTGACGTTGAACTTAATAACCTCTTTAAATATTTTTGTCTGCTATATAACGGCGTTATAGCCGTCAGTTTTCTATATATAGTTAGCCTACCCTGCAAGCTTTAACTCTCTTTATTCGAAAACGTTCCCCAGTTTCAATATCAATTCTCTCTCTCTCTCTCTCTCTCTCTGTTTCTCTCTCTGTGTTTCTCTGTTTCTCTCACTTCCTACATCAATAGCCTGAGTTCAAGTGCAAGTTGTTAATGGTTGCGTGAAGAAGAAGTTTGGTATATTGGTTGTTTTTCGTTGATATCACTTGGGTATTTTCTCGAAATGGGGAAGAAAGAACTGCAAGATCAGAAAGCCAACGAGAGAGTTGAAGCTGTCCTTAAGCTTCTCAGAAAACAAGCTCCTCTCACTGTCAAACAGGTGAGTTTTTTGGGTATTTTTCACTGTGCCTTAGCTTTCATTTCGTTGTTATTGCTTCTTTTTTCCTCGCCATAAGTATCACATGTTACTTGATTTTCGTTGCATATTACTTAAACTGAGGCTGTAACTTGTATGTAAGACAATTTTCAGGTTAAAAATGTGTTCTTCATTGCCTCAAGTTTACAATAATGTTGTGCTAAAGTGGTTAATCATTTTTATTTTTTTGTACTTTACTGTTCATAATCTCTCTTTTAGGCATTACAGTGTGGTTAATTAGTGTGTTACTGTTAACAGGAGAAGTTCTGCACGACCGCTTGTGTTGCGCGATTTCTGAGAGCAAAAGGTGATAGCGTGAAGAAGTCTGCGAAGCACTTAAGGGCTTGCCTTTCTTGGAGAGGGAACATCGGCATAGGTAGAATACCCTTTTATTGTTCTTCTATTTCGATTGCTTCATTTTATCTGCACTAGTAGCTTCTCTTTTTATAAGCATCTTCTTTTCTTTTTGTTGTTTCGTTGTATATGCAATGGAATCTTGCTTTTTCGTCTTTGAATTAAGCGTTAAAGTTAACATCTTGTCATCTTTGAAGTGATCCGATATTTCAAAATAAAGAATAGAACCTCACCTCGTTCTGCTTTTTTAAATACAGATAACTTGACAGCAGATGAGTTCTCAGCTGAGCTCGTCGAAGGAGTCGCTTATGTGGCTGGTAATGATGAAGAATCCAGACCCGTTTTGGTAAATTTTCAGTTTCTATCTCCTCATGTATCAAGTTCTTAATTTCTCAGAAACCAAGTAATAAAGTTATTGTTTTAACAGGTTTTCAGGATTAAACAAGATTACCAGAAGTTCCATTCTCAAAAAATGTAAGTGACAAAAGAGGAAAACAAGAAATGAACTTTTTTAACTTCCCCCCCTGGTTTTAAGAAGAAAGAATCTGATAACAGTGCCTGATTTTGTTTTTTCTTGCAAATTTTAGGTTCACTCGTTTGCTCGTATTCACTCTAGAAGTAGCCATTGGAACCATGTCAAAAAGTGCTGAACAGCTCGTAATCCTTTTCGACGCAAGTAAGTCCACTTTACAATACAACAACTACTGTGCGTCCGTGTCACAAATTAACAACAGTTTGCTTTTGATTTTTGGTTGAGTTTAAGTTAAATGTTTTATGTTTTGCACGCTGGTAAAGCAGCAGCAGCATGTAAATTAAGAGACCAAGCACGCAACTTTGTCGGAGAACAGACAGAGGTCCCTGAAATGATCAAACAATGTCCGGAGTGCCCCTTAGATGTCAAAGTCATTGCTCATTATTGCCTTATTGGTTCTGTTGTGCAGGGGGTATTATCGGGAATTGGAGTTAATTATAAGTATTCTCTTCTAGAATTGGTCAATATCAATGGCTGAGTTCTGTTTAGTTCAGTCTGAGCCTGAGACTTCCTTAAATTTTTTGATTCTCACCCACAGGCCCTCAGGATTCTCTTTTTGGCTTTGCCAGAAGTCTATCTCTTAACCCTGTCAGGCTTTTAACTTTTCTAATCACAATTTAAAAAAGTCATAGTTTGAATTAACTTTGTGATAATATTGTTAATTAATTTGGTTATTTATTTATTGAAACCTCAGGTTTTTTCAGATCAGCTTCAGCTTTTCTGAACTTATTGCTGACAACGCTGAAGATTTTGGCGGATTACTATCCGGGAAGGCTTTACAAGGCTTTTGTCATCGACCCACCTTCTCTTTTTTCTTATCTATGGAAGGTAAGATTAATTTGAAATTTCATCTACATCTCTATTACAATAATTCTCTGTCCTGCACATATTATTAATATTGCAAATTGCAAAAGTCTAACACTGTTCAACCTGCGAATCTGCACTGTTTCTTACTGTTTTGCCAACCAATACAAACAAGGAATTCTCTTTTTCCTAGTTATACTTATATCACCTTGCTTAAGTCAAATCTTATTTACAGGTCTGTTTCTTTTGTGGGTCCTTCATCCACCATCTCCTTCTATGATTTCAAAATTATTTGACAATTACACCTATCCTCAATGGCTGCAAATTCGAAAATGTCTATTACTATTAATATATACCCATGTTCAGTTGTGTTTTGAGGCATGTTTTTTTTTATTTTTTTATATTAAACTCTGTTAAATTTGTACCTTTATAGGTCAGAATAAGTATATTAGAAATTTTATATTTGAACTGGGACTTCAGCTCATGCATAATATAATTAATATATGCTCAAATGGGGTGATTCATTTCTCGGACTGTATATTCTTGCAGGGTGTCCGTCCCTTTGTGGAGCTGTCAACGGCCACGATGGTGGTATCATCGCTAGACTTTGAAGAATCGCTAGAATTCAATGACTTTTCAGCCTACCCACGTGCCTCGTCCCTCAGATTTGACACATCGTCGATAAATTCGACGGCCAAGATCGGTTCTTGCTCTTCCTCCCGATTTTCCTTCACAGTATCCCACCATTTTGACTCACTCAAACCGTGGTACCTCACTTTAACTGACACCTCATCATACAAGGTTGGGCCCACAAGTCCATACCCTGTGGCCCCCGCACTTATCTCGCCACTGAACGCCCGGTCACTCTCGTTCGCATCACCAGCTGCCAGGACTCCACGTGGCAGCGTCAACGGTGGTGGTAACCCCAGGCTCACCAGAAAAAGCTTATTCCCATCAACACCATTGCCACAGCGAAGCAAGGGCAGTGAACCAATCAAAATCACCCATCCTCGAACACCACGTCCCTCATTCCTGCAATCACCGGCCATGTTTTTCAGGAGGGATTGCCACGTCAGCGTCAAGACCGACAAGTCTCGAGAATCGTTCTTACCATTTTTAAAATTCTACAGAAGGCCGTACGATGAGATGATTTACAGGTCAAAGATGCGGCCCCCACTCGGTGGCCTAATCTCCATCGTCTCTCCCCACATCAAACGCCGCCACGTGTCAGTATCACAACGGTTTTAAACACCACCCAGAAAGGAAACGAGAAAAAAGAAATAGTACATAGGGCTGACACTGATTAATGAAGCTAATAATTGATTGATTATTTTGTTTATCTCGAGTTATGTGGTGCATGGATGGTTATGCTTATGTTTACGGTGAGCTCGTGCGGGTGATTAATTAAGAAGAGGCAGACTACGTGCGAGGTGGGATGTGAAAACTTGTGCGCCATGTCTAATTTTGAGCTCTGTGGAAACATATAATAAATAAAGTCCACGTTTTGGGTTTTGCATGGGAGAAAGACAGCGTGGTCGAAACGGCGAACAGTGTGTACTGCATTGGAAAACTTACTGTACCAAGAAAACCAAAGCGTTGAAAACAAATCTATATATGTTTCAATTCAAAGTTGAATATGTTAATATATATTGAATATTATTTTTCCTGTGAAGATTATTATTGTTTTTGAGTTATTTTTGGAGGGTGGGAGAATCTAGATGTACTTGTTCTGGTTGGACTTTGTTTATAATAAAGAAGACTACAAGTTTGAAAATTTCGATTATTGTAATGCAGTGCATGTACGTTAGTTGATAGTTGGGTTATTACTTGAATTTTCAAATAATGTGTTTGTTTTAATTCAACGATGGCAGCTGAGTTGGTAGGAATACGTGTCGTGTTTTGTTGAAATGAGAAGTCAAAACTAAAAATGGAGCTTCTGATTCCACTGAGAGTTTGGTGTTGGGAATTGAAATTCTGGAAATAAAAATAGATGTAATTCTACAAGTATACTCAGATATCTATACGGATTAGTGTATGGGAGAAATGGAGATTTGTCGTGTACCAAGTGTCGTTAAGGCATTAAGGTTCTGTTCATAAAAGGTGATGGGCATTCCACTTTCTTCCCCTTGGAATCTACCGCTTCTTCACTAATTCATGGCGTTGTTGTTGTTTAGCTACAAGTTGGTTGGGATATGGACAAACTGAGTGTTTGTAGTACCAGTGTTACCGTTTGGAGTTTATTCTTTTTAGTTTCTAGGGTTCTTCTTCTTCTTCATCTTCAAAGGAAGTCATAGTGTATAGTTTTAATTGTCGTATTGACAGTATTGGAGTTGTGGGGATTTTTATTCATCTAAAACGTGATGCCTTAAATGATTTGGAGCTTCTCAAAGAATTCACCTCTAACTAACAATGGGTTAGCCCACTGATAAAGGCTTGAGATTAAGGGGTTTACTTCCCATAGTCTCACGTTCGAATCATAAGAAGGGTTATCAATATTGTAATACGAACCGCAAGTTTGTTCTGTTTTAGAAGCCTTGTTCGGGATTAGAGGACTAGTCAAAGTGCGTATAACTAGTCAAAGACACTCTCAATACACACACAAAAAAAAAAAAAAAAAAAAAAAAAAAAAAAAAAAAAAAAAAAAGAATTCACCTCTTAATTGAGTTTTGCATTTACATGTGAATAGAGTTAAAAACATAAATAAATATTTGTATTTTGTTTTGGATCCTTCTGTTTCTGTACCATGTGCGCACTTGATAATGATACTCGGCACTGTATCCAATCCAACACACCAGATGTGATTGTTTTATTTTGGGCCCTCAATAATAAATTGGCTGATGTGTCCAAATTTTTCTTAGCTAACACTAAGGTGGAAAGTACATTAACACCCTCTTTCATCACTTATTATCTTTCATATTGGTAACTTTAGCTCATTGTTGTTTATAAATTTATTTATTTATTAATAATGTTATACATACATAATTAACATCCCAAATTTATATCTTAACCTACATGGTAGTTGATTTAATAATATATTTTTAATTGTAGGATGAATTAATTTGTCAACACAACTATCACATGAAAGAGGTAAAAAGTTAGGACCCTGATTCTATATGCATAGTATTAATCCTTATTTTTAATTTGATCATTTTACCTTTCGGATTTGTTTAAACAAGTAATATTTTAATTTCTTTATTTTATAATTTTTATAAAATTTAAAATTTAAAATTTGTTCTTTATTTATTTCTTAAATTTTGATTTTAAAAAAAAAAAAACAACGGCAAATGAACCACCTTAGGTGGTCGGGTGAGATGATAGAGACTTTTGAGTATATTATTAAAAAAAATCTTCAGTTCAATTCCCTTTAATTGCTAATAGGGGTAACTACTGGAGGGTTTACTTGGTCGTTAACTTTAAGTGGTCACTGAAGCCTAAAGGGTTTATCTAATCACCCTAATCAACCAAAAAACAAATGGCCGCTGCAGAATTGCTATGCGAGTTCTAGATCACCACTGCAGTATGGTCCAAATGCAACGGTTGCTTGGGGCATAATTTGACGTATTTGGGAAACTTCATTTGGGTGAAGAGCTGTCAAGAGGGGAGAAGGAAAGTTACAGTTTTTGGGTTTTGTGGGAATCATCTGTAACTATGTGAAGGGAAGAGTGTCCAAACGCCCACCGCAACACTTCGTTTATAATGGAACTTTACTTATCCACTAAAATTATCATTCATCTTTGTTAATCTCGTGATGATAAAAGAAATTGAATTGATATTAAAAAAAATTAACGACTTTTAACTTCATATTTAGTCTATTGGATGAATTAAATTTAAATCTTGATATTAAATTATGTTGACAACTTGTTAATTAATTAATTATTATTATTTTACTAATCCAAAATGTCCGAACTAGTTTACGTATACCTCAACTAATCCCTAAAACCTTAAAACTATCGGTTGGATAAGAGCTTCAATGACCACCTTTATTAACAATCGAGGATTCGAACTCAGGGCCTCTTGAATAATGTACCTAAAAGTCTCTATCAAATCATTCAGCCACATGCGGATTGACTAACTTGTTAGTTATTTAGCCTGTTTCTTTTTATTACAACTTTTATGGATTACTAATGAAATAAGTGGCAACCTAAATATTACCGCTCTTAATTACATTTACTTCAGAAATAAATCAGGCCACAGGTAGGATTTTTTTTAGAATGGGCTTAAACAAGGTCCATTATTGGCCGGTCCATACGTCCATAGACTCCAAAGTCCAAACCAATACAGCAATAAAAAGAAAAAAAAAACTGTATTTCAAGATGTTGATTCATTTATAATCTAAATTTCCATAGTTGTCCATAATCAGACAGCAGCTACAATACCTGAACTGGATGCTACTGATCAAGGACACAATCAATACCATAATGGGTACACCTGAGTTAAATTAGGATAAAATGTTCCAAAATTTTGCTGTTCCCCAGCTTGTTTAAAATTCTCATTGAACATTGAGAATATGTAAACTTCCAAATTGATGTCTGCCTTCCGCGGAGTTGTTCCTCTAGTAATGGCATGCTCCCTTAGCTTGTTGTTATAAATTCGGGCATTTTCGATACTAGAGTATGGTTCACGACCAGCCGTCGGCCAACCCGTCTCCGACACAACGAGTTTGACATCCTCCGATTGTACCACCCTCACCAATGCTGCCACAAAGGCATCCACCATTGCATCAAAGAGATTATAGTACTCCAATTCTCCATCTTTAATAGGCCTTGGAGCTTGGAATAAAGCATAGTCTAGGGAAATTCGGCCAGGTTCCGAAACCAGGGCAAAGTAAGGATACACATTTATCAGAAGTGGGGACCCTATACGATGTAAATATAGAGTGATATTACTCATAATGTCAGCAACATTGGGAGCAAATTGGCCCTGTGAAGGAGGGAAAGAGACCCCTAAGACATTAGCTGAAACTGCAGTAGTGACGTAAATGTCTTGTGTGCCAGCTCGCTGCCTTAATGAATTTTGTAGATTTAGGATGGCTTGCAGGACATCGGATGCAACAACGCCTGGAATTGCCTCATTACCAACACAGAGATAACGAAACCTAACGCCTTTTCTGATATATGTAATTATGTGGTCTTGAACCCATTTATCAGCAGCTTCTTGGCTTGATGCTACATAGGAAATGGCCTCATTAGGGACCCCAATTGTTACAACCAGATTGGTTCCGCTCAATGCTTCTAAAATATCGAGGTTGGCATCGTATATCCGGATCAATGAGATTCGGTAATTCAAATCTTTGGTAAGGAAATTGATGACTTGCTTTGGAGAAGGGAGATTGTCTCCATTCCTACCATAGTTGATTCCAGCATCACCACCTGCAAAAAATTTCATGTAATTGAATGAAAATATGACCAAATATTTATGTCCATATTCTTATAGGCAAATGAGCAAATTTAATTTAACATTATCAGTAATGTAGCAGAGTTTTGAGATAAACTAAACTCACTTAAGATCATCGAAGGTTGAAACACAGCCATTGCTAACACCAGAACCAATGTCGTTAAAGGGGCCATTCTCATCTGCACATTGCCCTTCAACAATTCAAAAAAGAATTAATTGCAACTTGACTTTATCAGCTGGAAAAAAATATTAGATGCATAAACAAACAGATAATAGGATGAAACAATCAAAGAGAAAAGGAAAGAAAGACGGTCCTTACAAATTGTTGTAATTTGTTTAACGAAGAACAAGCATGATATAAAGGAGAAGAGTTAAAGGAGTCTAATGGGAAATTAGTTGGACAATAAATGCTGCCAGCTTAGCTCATAAAAACCAATTGGTCAGTTATTTATTCATTAATATTATATTAATGGTATTTACATCTTTCTAAGAACATCATGCTCCAATCAACAGAATAGAATTTGGCGGTTTCTTCTTAACTTCTGCGCAGATGCGATGGTATCGTTACATTGACGAATGAACAACTCGTTTCTCTAACGCACACCTTCTGAGGTAGTATTAGCCGCGCTTTTTATGTTAAATACTTCAAATTAATACACATTAATCCAAAATTCTCACTCACTGATGAAATTGAACCGTTTTCCACACTAGTATATCGAGTCGACAGGCCATTGTTTCAATACAAACTTAGACCATTAAAAGTTATGTTCAAACATAGCATCAATGATCAAACCAGCCACTTACATGTATTATTTCTTTGTATTAAGTATTCGGATTCAGAATAGAACCACCAATGAACTTGGCATTTTAAATCAGAATCCATTAACATTTGTAAAAGACTCAAGACTCTAATGCATACAACTGTTGTCACCGAAAATTGGTTCTGTCAAAGGACACTTAAAAGAAAGAACAGTAGTCAACACAGTATGATACTCTTTTAACATATAAATGAAACAAACCATCATATTTTCTTCTGCACTGTCTCTAGGTCTAGATTAGACCCATAAGTCCTGTGCAGAGCTGCAGCGCACCAACCATGCCCATCATCAACTGTCGGCATTCTGACTTCCATAACTGGAATCACTGGATGTTGAGCGCCAGGCAGAATGACTCCAGCCAAAACTCTCAGCACATTTGAGGTATCAATGTCCATGCACACATTTATTTCTGGTACTCCTTTGGGCGCTGGAGGAATTCCCATGATCTTGAAATAGCCTAGCAGGTGATTCTCCTCTACCTTCTTTCCTTCACCTTCATAGACAATAATCAGTGCCTCAGTTTGGCTATCACGGACAGTTGTGAAGACCACATCTCTACGAGATGGCATTGCAGTGTTTCTAGGTATGATGGGTATAAAGTTATTTCCATCAGCTCGTATACCAATGGCCAGAGGTGTAGCTTGTATGGTTAACAGGTCCAAGTTCCCAAAGGGATCACTAATTCCTGAAGCCACAGCCCCTTCCAGAGCTGCCCCACAAACAACCGCTTCTAATGTGTTCATACCTGTGTATAGTTCCTCTTTTTTGCAGATGCTCTTGACAAGATTCCTCACTTTCGGAATATATGAACAACCACCAACAAGTATTACATCAGTCAGATCCTCTATCTCCACCTTTGCATCATGCAAGCACTGAACAATGAGGTTCTCACATTTCTCAAATATTTGTCTGTTTACTTCTTCAAACTCCTCCCGACTCACCACCTTGCATATTTTTAATCCATTTCCCAAGTCAACATCAATTTGAACACTAGTCTGCAATGATAGTCTGTGGATTGCATCCTGAGTTGTAACACGAAGCAACCCCATAGATTTGATCTCATTAATACCATGGCTTGAGAAAAGAGACTCTGAATTTGGCAAGAGATGACGCATCATGTTCTGTAGTAAGTCTTCTCCTCCGACAGGACTTCCTGCTAAGGCTTTTATCTGTGAAACTCCTCCAGCTGTAGCAGAGACAGCTACATCACAATATCCAGCACCCATGTTGAAAATGAGGGCAATCTTCTCACTTCCACTGCCCATATTCTCATGCACAGTCAGTTGCTGCTGCTGTGCATACAACAATGCAACAGCAGTAGGTTCAGGCATTAATCTGAGAACATGGAGGCCAGCCATAGCACAGGCTCGTTCAATTCGGGTCAGTTGAAAACGACTGAAGGAAACTGGAATGCTTAGAACCGCATTTCTTATGGGCCGCTTCAACTGGATTTCAGCCATAGCTCTTAATTCTACCAAATATATTGCAAGAACTTCTTCAGGAGTGGTGGATCTCCAGACATTGTTCACTAAGGCAGCAACAAATGGGCGAACCCCAATATCCAAAGTTTGTACCAAAAATGGAAGGCTTTTGCTCGCATGTACAACTGGATCAGTGTCAACTCTGCCAATTAGGCGTTTCATGTTGAAGATTGCAGCTCCAGATAACATTTCATTCTCATGGGAAAGCTGATTGCTAACTCCACCTGAAGGGATTTCATCCTTAAAGGTGACATAAGACCGCATCATCTTCTGGTTTCTAGTGTTCTTAAGAAGCTCTACCTGGGACCCATTCCAGAATGCAACACTGCATTGTGAAGTACCAATATCAATTCCAATTGCAATTTCTGGAAAAACAGAGGAAGATTTCTCTTCCCCTATGGTTTCACTATCAGATGCAACGGTATATGCTGGTTCAGCCATCCCTGCATTTGACACATTCATGACTCATCGAGTGACGAAAAAATCTCTTTGGACTCAAATGTACAATAATATCTTCAGGTAATATAAATTATAGCTTTTAACCAAATGAAACGTATTGGTATAAGCATACATTTGATTTTCCTCCAAGAAAAGAAAGTCATTCAATTAGTCCTAAACAGCAATGGCTCAAAAACCACTCCCTTAACTAACTTCTACATTACAGGACTAAGTAAATGACAGTTCAAGCAGGTATTTTGACAAACACCTCCAAGGTGTTCTCCTCCAAATGAAAGCGTACAAACCTGCTGGACTAAACCAAAAAGCTGGCAAACCAATTCTCTCATTTAGAATAGTGTTATCTTCTTGTAATAAATGATTTGTATTAAAACTAAACTCTCTCATAGTTGCATAAGATTCTCAAGAAAAACAAATAAATAAAACTCATGATAAAAGCACAAGGCAAAAATTTAGCAACCAAAGAAGCCAAAAAGACAATCAATCTAACGCAAACTCTCATTCGTCACTACGTTTCCATAAATAAATTGCTGATTCAAGGGACAAAAAAAGACAGTAGGTTAACTTAGATGCTCTTTACACTAAAATAATGAGACATTTCAAAGACTACTAAAATCATGAAGAAAATAAAAACCCAGTAACTTTCACAATCAAGAACCAGAACATAAAGATTCAGATATGTGCACCAAATGTTTAAATACAACTAAAAAACAAGGCAAATAAGACGGTAAAAGTTTTACGATAAAGAGTAATGCAATAACCGGTTGATCAACAAGAAACAAGTTCGTAGTCATACAAGAAAACAAGAAAATCCTAGAATGCATAAAATGATGATCAAACTTCTCGTGCATTAGTATTAACTAAGAAGGAAAAAAGAATGCAAAAGATGATCACGCAATGAGAAAGCAAAGTAACGGAAGCATGCAATTAACGAGTATGTGTTTTCATATAAAATGAATTACAAAATGTTGAAACAGAAAGGTGAAGACGTGAGACTTACTGTGAAGGAGTGTAGATAGAGAGGCAAAATGAAGAGAGAGCAGAAACGAAGCAAGAATGAGAAGAAGATGCCAGAGGTTTCGAGTGGAAAGACAAGAGAGAGCAAGCACACTCAAACAACCAATAAGTAATAAGCGCTCTACTTCTAGAGTTTCCTAGAGAGATACGTTTGCTTTTCCTTTTGCTTTTTTTTTTTCTTCTGTAAAACTATTAAAACCATGTCATGTGTCCAATTATTTATATTCGAAAATTGTATTAAAATATCCGGTGCTCACGAGAAGGGTCGAGAAGAAAATGCTCGAGACGGAATAGCTCGTTGGACTGGACCAGCCCAGCTAGTTAATGTTAATGAGGAGCCCGTTGGGCTGATTTCATTTGTAAATCCCAAGCTTCGGATTTTTGTTTCATTTTTCACAGGTTTACACATGAATGTTTATGGTATAATAACAGAGAACATAATAGGTTGAATTCTTCTGGATGACTTTTTTTTGTTTTTTCCTTTCTGATTAGATGCAGTGTTGAAGATGATATTATCTAAGATGGTTCTTTTTCCCCAAAAATTTGTTCATATTAACTTAAAGCTCAACCTAATAACACCAACAATATTCTTTTTTTTTTTTTTTTAACTAATCTCCTAAGACCACTGAACTAACAGTTGGATAAGAGCTTCAGTGACTATCCTTATTAATAAATGAGAAGGGATTCAAACTCAAGACCTCTTAAATAATACACTTAAAAGTCTCTATTGAACTACCTAATCGCTTAGATATGGTTAACACCAACAAGATTTGCATCTACAACCAATTTTAAATAGATTTTATAAGGAAATACTGTTTTTACCATTAATTATGCCTAAGAAAAATGTAATGAATGAAAATTGAATATCTCCAACTTTCTCTTAAATTTTTTGTCTTTTAAATAATGTGTTAATTGTTATGTGTCATATTCTTCTTTGCCCGAGACATGCATCATCATTTATATATGTGAATAGAAAATAAATTAAAATTTAGGATGCATAAGATTATTCGAAATTAATATTATATGAACCCATTAAATTGTTATGCACACACAGTATCTCATTTTACGCATCCTCAAATTTCAAGAATTAAAACCGCATTTTTTGAAAATCCTAAAATACCTTAATATTTTTCACTCTCACATGCCAAACTATACTATCTATAAAAAACCAACAAATTGCGGCCATCAAAGTTGACGCCTTCTTCAGGCTTCAGTCACTTCACATTAGTGAGAGCATAAAGTTGCAAAGGATCATTGTTCTGCACATATTTCAATTACCGCTGCTGCCCTCCATTCATTCTCAATATCTATTAAACACTTTCTAAACTTAAAAATGAAATAAGTCATAATATTATTATAATAGATAGCCTTAAAATTTATATTAAGATTATCTTAGAATTAAGATAATTATATTAAGTCTTTTATAATTATATTAATTCTTTTATAATTATGTTACTATCTTATTAGGATAGAATTAGAATTATCTTATTCTCTTTTTATAATTAGGATATAATATTTTATTAGATTTGAATTAGGCAATTAGAGTCATCTCCAAGAGGACTCTAATTGCCTAATTCAAATCTAATAAGAAAATATTCTATCATAATAAGATAATAGCATAATTATAAATAATAATTATAAAAGACTTAACATAATTATTCTAATTCTAAAATAATCCTAACAGTTTGGACCCAAGATGTAACCCTCGCACTGCTTTGTGTTCACAGATGTTGTATATAATTATGCATTGGTATGACTCTTCCATGTGTTTTTATTTTTTTATTTTGGACGAATGAAAAGATTTTGTTGGTTGGTTGTGATTTCCTGATTTGAGTTGAAAAAGAAAAATCTAGTTAATTTGGTGAGACTAGTTTGTTTGAGTGATAAATAGAAGCGTTTTGGTTAATTGGAGTGTGAAATGGTTTGTGTTGAATGTTTACTCTTGATTTGTCAATTCAATCACTTGAGTTATAAAATTTATGTTTGATGTATCTTGTGATAATTGGTGGTTAGTTTGGAAAGGGATGACTATTCCATATTGGTAATTTGAGTTGAGTGAAATGTTGTTGGGAATGTGTGAAAAAGGGGGGTGAACTGCAAGTTTTAGAACTTTTTTGGGTTCAAGTGAAAGGATTTAATACATTGGGACTATACAAATTCTGCATATTTTGGTGCCGAGGCATGGTACATTCTGGAATTTGGACAAAATTGTCAGTTTTGAAAGTTTGTTTGTTATTTTGGGGTGTAAGTGAAAATATTTAATATTTTGGGACTTATTATATCGATAATATAGGGGTCCTTTTGTAATTAAAATACTGTTGTGTTGGGGGCCTTTATGGATACAGCGCGAAAATTCAGGGGGCAAATATTATTTGCCATTAAACTGACTTATATGGAAGGAAGAAAAGGAGAAAAAAAAAAAAAAAAAAAAGAAGAAAAAGAAAAAGGAGAAAGGAGAAGAAGAAAAGGGGGAGAAGGGTGGTCTTGACCCTATTTTCATTTGGAAATCGATTTTTTGGCGTGCTTGATCCGTGGGAGGAGGAGAACCAAGTTTTTTGAGGGTTTTCGTTATTTGGGACAAGCTTCACGAGGGTGAGTGGAAAAATCTAAACCCTTAACTTTCGTTTTAACAAAGTTATCTCTAAATGCTAATTTATACTTGTTTATTGTTTTAAATTGCCTAATATGTTTGATTTCTGTATATAAATGAGTTTTATTGCAATGTTATTGTTGGAAATTGTTGATAGATATGAGAAGATGGAATTTTGATGCTTTTGGGCAACAGTTTGAAAAGAAATGAAAATGGGTTGAAATTGTTGGATTTGAAAACATTTGAGAACTTGCATTTATATATTGTTTTTTATATTACATGAGATGGTATGAAATTTATTATATGCTCATGAGAAAAAATGTTTTGAGAATAAGTATGAAATGATAATGGGTTTTCAAACCACCCTGTGTAGTACCCATCCCCCTTATGATGTGGATTTGATTCTACATATGTGTATGATTTGATATTGTCGGCCCCAGGTGGGTCGAAGGCCTGAGCGAGGCAGATATCGCTACACATGATTTGATATTGTCGGCCCAAGTGGGTCGAAGACCCAAGTGAGGCAGATATCGCTACATATGATTTGGTTTTGTCGCCCCAAGTGGGTCGAAGGCCCAAACGAGGTAGATATCGCTAAACCGGATATGATTATGCCCGCCTGAGTGATGCTTAGACTCACTGGGTCGAAGGCTTGAGCGGTGACCGATTCCGCCTATCAGGATAGATTTATTGGTTCAGCCCGTGCGATGTTAGATCTTGCTGGGTTAGACGGATTTACCCCTGAGTACTAGTCGGGTGAGAGTTTTCACATGTGATTGAGAGATGGTTTGGATACATATATATATGTATATCATTTATTTAAAATGGAAATTTATAAATGAAAATGTAATTGAATATGAAATGTTTCTAGAAATGATATGTGTAGAGAAACATGAGTATTGATTTGTTTACCATAAGGTCCATAATAGCTTTTAGAATGAAGTTTTGCAATGAGAGATTTCAGCATTGCTATGAAAGATGGCTTATATTATAAAATGTGTTATGGAAATGAAATTTTATACGCATGAGTGTTTGTATTGTTTATTGAAATGTGTTATTACATACTAACTCATTCCCCACTCACTGAGCATTTCTAGCTCACTCCTCGTTTTCAAATGTTTTTCTTTTCCCCCCACCAGGTCAAGAAGGTGTTCGTGCAGAGGAGTGAATCCTACTCAAGGTTGGGCCACACGACTTTACTTCATCATAAGTTTCACGGTTGTGTTTCATTTTCTGCTGCAAAGTTTATGTTTCTTCATCATGTATTTTATTTCATGTTTTGGATTGTAAAAGATATGGAAAAGTCTGATACCATATGTTCATTTTGTAAAAGAAAATTTAGTTACATTTGTTTATTTGTAAATGATGTCATATTTATTTGTGAGAAACATAAAGGAGTGTTTACAAATGTTTTAACTGGAAGAGTTTTATGATGTTTTATTTATAAACATGTTTTATAGCTTTCCCACATGGCACGTCTCAATCACCCGAGTCTCATGGGTGCTTCGGGAGCCTATGGGATAAAGAGGGTCGGGACGGGTCGTGTCACAAGAACTCAAAGAAGGATTTAGGAAGCAAATCTCTTTTACCACCAAGCTCATCCGCGTCGTTGTTGCTCACTTTTCGAAACTGAAATTTATATATATATATATAGATGTAACCCTCCGCACTGCTTTGTGTTCACAGATGTTGTATATAATTATGCATTGGTATGACTCTTCCATGTGTTTTTATTAACATAATTATTCTAATTCTAAAATAATCTTAACTGTTTGGACCCAATAACTCAAAGATGAGTTTATGAAGCAAACCTCTTTTACCAAAGGCTCATCCGCGTCCTTGTTGCTCACTTTTCGAAACTGAAATATATATATATATATATATATAATTCTGTAGAAGAATTTTTGTTCATTTCTAATTTGGATGCACATAAAAATGAAAATAGAATGAGCTCCTGTGAGTGAAACATTCCTGAATTATTGCCCATCAATAATAGTTTTTCTTAAATAGGATCAGCTTATTTTAGGGGTGTTACATGAATCGAGCCGCTTGCGAGCCAGCTCAATTCAACTCGGTTACGGCTCGTCAAGAGCTCGACTCGGGTGGAATCGAGTCGGCTTGGCTCAGTTTGTGTAAAACTTCGAGCTGAGTTCGAACCTCGCCTAGCTTGATTTGATTGGCTCACGAGTCGACTTTGACTCGATATTTTTTTTCCCAAATCGGTAAAACCCTAAATTAGAGAAATCCATCCTACAGCAAATCCATCATACAAACACGATATTTGTCGTCACCACAATAGCAAATCCTTGCACCTGCAGCTCGCCGTTGTCATCGTTTTGATTCAAAGCTTAGAGGGCGTCGCTGTCACTTTGCTTCACTCTGTTCACTCCTTAGCCTTCGCCGTCGCCACAATCTTGTTAGAGTATACAAGGTAATGATACTTTATTTCAGAAAGAGAGCACATGATGAAACATTATGGCCAGAAAAAAAAGAAAAAAATGACGACGAAATAGAAAGAAGATAAAAAAAAAAATGGTTACATGATGAAACCGAAGTGATATAAATTAAAGAAGAAAAAT